GTTTCTTAACTTACCAAATAATAACCAAAACCTTCAAAAATCCAGTAAGTCTCCCTTGCAGAATAAGCACAGGGGTTTGTTCTTTAAAAAAAGAAACTGCTCAAGCTAATGAATGACAGCTGTTAGAATTCACCTCCCAGGACTTCCAGGAAGGGCTGGAAAACATGCTAGCTCATACATTTTTCAAGATCCAAAGACCTCAGCACTGCAGAAGTCAAATAAAGGTATAAAACTGCTTGAATGCAAGCTGTACCTTGCTGAGTTCACAGGGATCTTGTCAAAAAAACTATATAAGAAAATGTACAGCAAAACTTAAAGCATATAAAACTACTGAACAGTTTAAGTAATTTGTCTTTTGCAAAAGTGCAATTGAAATAACTCAGCTACAGATAGCACACACAAAACATTGACTTTAAATTAGCAAGATATCAGTTTTAAAATCATAAGAATTTAAGAACCTTGCCTATTTCCTATATTGTAAGATTATTATTCCAAAAAAGGCATATGCTCATGCTTTCAAGAAGCCCCAGAATCATCCAGGATATAATATTGCTGTAATCCTGTGACAAAACTGCCCTGAAAATGTAACAGGAATGAGTCAATATGTTTTTAGAGCAGTATCTTCCACAATTCCACAGACTAAGAGAGTATTAATAAATATATATGTTTGTAAATTATCTAGAAAAATGCTACAGCTGTATTAAAAATAACTCAGTTTTCTGTTATACTGGATGGTTCAAACAATGCTCCACAAGGTTACAGGACTTGATGCACAGTTCTAGGATAGGTTAATATTGTAGGTCCAATATCCTTTCCTTTACTTCTTATAACTAAATACAAAATTAGAAAGAAATGGATCACAACAATAGAGAACAGTCACACTGATACCAGGGAGATGCAGCAAAACAACTATTCATCTAGTGCATCATGTCTGTATCCTCCACTTACCCCAGTTAATAGATGTAGTGCCTTATTTGTTTAACACAGAGACTGCAAAAATTCAGTTGAATTAAAGCCCCATTTTTAAATGCATTTTGATACTGTGCAGCTCAACTTTATAACCTATGAGACAGCCTATCTCAAGAACCAACAAAGGCAGTAGGGCTCGATGTCCCATGGTTTTCACATGACCCCTTGTTTTAAAATTAAAAGCCATCCTCTTACTTCTGCCTTTGACAGGTGGAAACAAGAGAACTCCTCCAAGGCTGCCTAAGAAATTTAGAGAGCAAAATTCTGTTTCTCCAGGAAGCAGGCACAGTGCTGTTGTAACTGGTTGGTATCTCACCTTAATGGAGAATGAGGCAGTCTAGAAGAAAGGAAAAGTCCTCGACTATGAGTAGAAAATAGCTCCCTTGTGAAAAGTAAACTCAGGATAACCACCCTAAAGACTTTTCCACAAGACACAAAGCCCTTGGGGAAAATCAGTGATGAGCATGTGATAGTCTAGCCAGGGACTTTCAAGGCAGTTTTGAACAATGGGGGAAGGAAGGCACTGAGACAGGGTTCTGGGGTTTATTACACTGAAAAAGAATGAACTTGAAGTACTCAGAAGGGGAAGATAATGCAGTGCTGAGATCAAATATTGTCTGGGACACTCTGTTTCATTTAGAAGCCGAAAAGACAATGAAATCCCACAGAACTCATGACAAGGCATGCTCTGGCATGACAGAAGTTACAGAGTTACAGAAGAAGACAGAGTTACAGAAAATAGACAAAAAAAGTCTGATGCTGAGGTGGTGTGGCTGCCCTACAACCTCCTACACCATACCAGCATTTCTGAGGTCTTTGGTAAGGAGTCATAGAGAGAAAGCTCTTGGCAGACACTAGTATCAGTAAGAAATTGATTCAATAACGCTTGCCTGCTCCTAATGGGTTTTCAATTGAAAGCTCACTAACAGGCTTTCAATAATGCTTGCCTGCTCCTCCAATCCATTTCAGTCCTTGCAAGCCACACCATACCCAACAGGGCTCCCCCCAGAGTAGTTCAGCCCACCTGTGAAAACTAATTTTAAAAAACACTAGTGTTTTCCAAACTAACTGTCACAAAATGCCCTCAGAAGCTTCTGCTTAAACCACGACACCTTGCTGTATGCTCTTGCCCAAAGGACCCCCTCTGTATGGTGGCTCCACCTCTCCACTCCAGCACAGTCCCCAGAGTCCCTGCTCATAGTCTTGCCATTAAAGAGCCCAGCCTCATCTTCAGTGTATTTCTGCGTTGGTGGCATTGCTCCATCCACAGGGCTAGACCCATCTGAGATAAAAGATTAAGAAACTCATGCAGCAAAGGAAGTGAAAGTTGTAATTCAAGAGATGATGATCCCTCTTAGGCAAAACTAAAATCAGAGTGTTGCCACGACATTTATTGACTGGTTGATTAAGGTGCCATTTTTTCGAATGAGACTTGAGAGCAGGCAGTAACAAATATCTGTTTCTTTGCTTTATTTCTCAGAGTCTTGAGAGAAGAAAAAATTGCTCAAGACAGTGGGTTACTTTAGAAATTCACTAACATGTTGATGAGCATCTTCAGTGTTTCATTTGAGAAACAAGTGCATTTCATGGGTAAACAATGTGTTCCTGACACACATATGGCATGTGACAACAGTGGTCACCATAAAAGGAACTAGTGAGCTAGGATTCTCCACCCTGGTAAAGAGACATCTTCAGGAGTCCTGATGGCATGGATAGGAACTCTTCGCTGTCTCCTCAGATATTCAAGAACTAGGAGCCATCAATGAAGCTATGAGAAGCTGGGTTCTAGACAGGCCCTACAGACCACAATGCTACTTGCAAGAGGATTTTCTAGAGGCAGAAAATTCTGAAGGGAGACTGAATGAGCATTTACAAGAGAGATCTACTGATGGTCACTAACTAGACCACACCAAGTCAGGAAATCCCTAAAATGAAAGCACAATCGGAGAGAGAATCCAGCAGAAGTATCACACCTGTGTCTGCTTTTGGATTTGGCTTTCTTTTAGTCAGACAGCTGTTTGCACTTGGTGAAACACTACCAATCTGTTCTTGTGCACATTACAAGGGCTGAATCCCTCCCCTCAGCACCATTCCTGCCCTGGAAGGTGTGGCAAGTCCCACCAACCCACCCCTAACTATGCTTCTTGTGCAGTAGAAGCATTTGTACAAAAACCAGATCCCCTTGCTGTTTCTCACCATTCTGTCTGAGAGGATCTCACACCTGCTGTCTCACCATCTATTCTTGCAGCTGCACATCTGCAGCTTTTTCTCTTGGCAGCCCCATGACCATCCAGTAAGGTCTATAAGGTAGGCATGGAGAATCACAGGCTGAGGGATTTCTAGACTGTTGAAGAGCCTGGATGAGGCATGCTTCTCCACACACTGACCAAGCTCCTCAATGACAGTGGTTCCTTTTCCTGGAAGAGACCCATGGCTAACATTTGTCATGGCTTGAGCAGGGGGTAGGTCACAGCCTGAGCAGACCCACCAATGTTAGTCTCCATGAAGCCACTGCAGCCACCCCACTGTCCCCATGGAGCACATTTGCTTCCTTACCTACTGGCCTGTGAGGAAGGCAGGGCTTTCCTGAGCTTAGACCAGCGGCTTCCAAAAAAGCACCTTTTCACATGCTGAGCTCATGGCAATACATTAGAGGTGAGCTTGGGGCCTTCTCTGTAGGTGGGTAGCATGCAGATGCTTGGTGTGAACCAGTCTGATAATTTGTACACGTTACTTTACAGGCCACAGCCCTCACTGACACTCTGGGTCACACATGCGGGATGCTGGCTACACCAAAAAGAGCTTTCAGTTCCTTGAGAAATGTGTTTAGAAAACAAAAGAAATATTAATGAATAACTTAAAATCCAACCAGGTTTCTATGCTGAGGTAACAGACCTCATTCTACCCTACTCTGTTCTGCATTTCATACCCACCCTGCAGGAGAAGAATGACTGTATTAGATTTAAACCAATAGAGAAAATCAGGTCTGATAATTAGATCTAGTCATTGAATAACAGCCATTGCAAAACCTGTAGTTATGACTTCTAAGAACTAACAGCATGAGGAAAGAATACCTCTTGACAATAATTAATGTAATAAGCAGTGCTCATCATTAGTTTTCTGGAAGCAATGCATGAAAAGCAGTTCATCATCTTGCTTCTCATAGAACTCCTGACTCACGTTATCCCTGCGGTACAGCGGAAGGGTAAGAGTGAGATGGCGCGTTAAGCCTACAGTTCTGTAGTTATACAAGAGCTTTTTGAGGACTATAAATCTCTGGAGCCCTGTAGCACTGCCCAGATAGTAGTTTCAACCACGCTGTATGTCTGTTACTCTGAAATGGCTGCAAACACAAGTCTTTTAAGACTTTTGAGCTAGCTCAGCTGGTCCTTTAGCTTCACCATAAACAACATACTGAATATTCCAGAGAAAAGAGAAGGGTGTGTATTTTGGCTTCTGGATGAACTTTCACAACAGCAAACATTACATTTAGTCTGTATAAACAGCTACAGTGACTGCAAGAAAAAAAATATTATGACACTAGGGCAGGGGAGTTGTGTTTCACCTAGACCCTCATACAGTAAAAGAAATAGGGAATGCACTTCAACAGATCACTTCTGCTTGTTCTTTCCTTGGAAGCCTAGGAGAGTTGTCATGCTTTGGCTTTTGAGCCTTGATGAAGCAATAGCTATGGTTTTGGGAAAAAAAAATGATGTTTTATGAAGATAGGGTTATGTAATAATAAATCTGAAGGCAGAGATGAAGGAAGGGCACAGAGGAAGTGGGAAAACAACAGACAGACCTCTCATCACAGGGAAGATGGTAACATCTGTCCCAGAATACTAGTATATTTCCGGAGGTTGCATGCAACACATATTGTGGCCTAATTCTTAGTATGAACCTCTCTAGGGCACTCATTCACTTTGGGTAATGCTACATTTCACTCTCTTTCTGATTTTATTAACTTTTTAAAGGTCATCAAGCATTAGAGGAAGAAAGGCTTTCCTAAGGCATATCATAACTTCTCTTACCTTCCAGGAGCTAGCCTGAAACAATTTCAGCACAGCAGCTTCTTTATCTGTAGTTACCCTTTTCCTCCTCCACATACCCATGAGAATCAATCCTGTATTAAAAAAAAAGAGATTCCTATGAACCTACCACCCAGAAAAATTACTGAGATGACAGATACAGAAAGAAAGATTTTCATCTTCCTCTTACAACCTTCACATCATCTAAATTTCAGCTCAGTCCCCAAAGATTTTACTTCTCTCTTGGATATAAACTGAAATAGTTACCTAATTTGCCTTATACTAACATGCGAAACCTTTGAGCTGACCTCTGTTAAACAAGAGTACTTGTTCAACTTTGCAAGCCCTCAGCATCACTTTGAAGTCACAATCAAGGCTTTGTGCAATATAGTAGACTGGATGAGATAGGTTGATGAGAAATGCCAACCTGATGGGGAATTTTTCTGTTCTCAATGAATCTTTTTCTTCCAATTTTCTGATATGCAACTACATTAATTCAGTGCTCAAAACAAATGTCTCAAACAGCCTCAGTGAAAGCATTGTGCCTGTCTCAGTCTGGATCAAACCTGATCATTCTTCACTCACTTAGAACGTGCAGTGTCTCTTTTTCTTTTCTTAATACCCTCTTTGTGCATAAATTCTCAGAAAAAAAGAAAACCAAGGTAGACAGCACCTAAATACAAGCACCTGAGAAGCTTCTGAGCTCCTTCCAAAGTACAAGTAAAACAACAAGAAGTTTTCTTCATTGGATGTCACCTTATGTAAAACTGCAGATAAGAGTACAGTTCTTCAAATCTTCTGGAAACCAGTGTAGTCTTACAACCTTCTCTAGAATCACATTCATTTGCATCAGTAGAGGTTTTGGCTCCACAGCAATAGGAATAGGTTGTCCAGGGAGGTTGTGAATGCTTCATCCCTGGCAGTGTTCAAGGCTAGGTTGGACGAGGCCTTGGGTAATATGGTTTAGAGCGAGGTGTCCCTGCCCATGGCAGGGGGGGTGGAACTTGATGATTTTAAGGTCATTTCCAACCCTAACTATTCTATTATTCTAACTGGCTTCACTCACTTTGAAAACACACCACAAGACCCCCACTACCACAACACATACAGGTATGAGAATGGATGACCCACTAAGTGATATAATAATCAAAGTCATTTCAACATGTAATTTTTCAGCCATACTTTACAAATTGACACGGAGATTTCAACAAAGTCAAGACTTTGCAATTTCGCCTAGCCAGCTAAAAAAGGGTAAGATACATTTCCTCATGCTCAACTCTTGTTCAAGCAAACACAAGAACCAATTCCAGGTTTTCCTTCTGGCTTTGATCTAAGCTCTGAGTGTCTTTCTTCTTCCTTTTGTGTTTCCAAAGAAATGGAAGAGCACAGAAATTTAACGGTGCGTGCACAAGCTGAAAGCCCCCAAGCTCCATACAACTCTATGCACTGAAAATGCAGATCAAAATGTAAACTGTCATTTTCTTGTCTCTTACCACTGTTGAGTTCCTGAGCATTGCACATCAATATGTGCTCCTATTCTCGGTACTGTAAAGAGAGGTAAACTGAAATAATGTGGTGAAGCACCACATTCAGTTCAAATACTGAAAAGGCCGACTGAGCTACTTGCTACAGTGCTTTTTTTTACCAGCCAACACGCTTTAGTTCTACACATCTAAACAGGGCTACAAAAAAAATCTCTCCTGTGCAAGGTGTCATTTTTGATGCCCTGCCTGGTAATTGCACCCTCACACTGCTGCAAAGAGAATGTATATGGCATTTGGATGAAGTTTCAACCTTAAACTGCTGTTAAAGAGGAGGCCCTTGAAGGAGTTAATGTGAAAGGATTCAGCATGGAAACAGTAGGAGTGTTTGACACACCTCACCTCCACCAGAAAGTGCAGCCTAACCACACTTCAGTGTCCAGCTGGATAAAGCCTGGTCTGTAAAGTAGTCCTGCTCCTAAGATTCAGCAGCAAGAGCAAGGCACTGACCTGACAACAAGGTTGCAGCAAAAAAAATTCTCATGACATACAAGAAAAAAATTCTATCCAGTGGGCAGAAGCCCAGGCACAACAGGGGTGGAGGTTTTCCAAATGCAGCTGCACAAGGAAGGCCCTGTGTGAGCTCATCCAGCCTGGGAACACCAAACCCCTCAGATTGGACTAGAGACCTCCAGAGGTCCTGTGCAGCTGAATTACCAGCTGCTAGCAAAGTTTTCACTCAACCTAATACAGGAAAAATATCATTAAATGCTCATCAGCATGAATTCATTTTATATGCTCTTTGGCCTTTTCAGCATTTATTTTTTTCCATTATAGTAGTATATAAGAAACCCACTCAAAGATGACAGCTTTACTACTGGAAGTGCACAATACACACTGGTTATCATGAAAATGCTTAGCTAAATCCAGTGATGCAACTAAAAAAGAAATTGAGCTACCACAGCCAGACCTGGATAAAGAACTGTTAAAACAGCTGCTTAGTACATCCAAATTAAGCAGACTTACCACAGCCTCTAAGATAGTAGTGCTCTTTTTCACCAACCACAGACATCTGCAAATAACAACACCCTCCTTCCCCCACTCCTGCATCCAGCGGGTCTGGTCTCCTGTCTCATCATTAATCCTCCAGCTTGATGGCAGAAGAGAGCCCAAACCAGAGGTCTCCTTCTCCACCTGCTTGCAAGAGTTCAGCAGCTGCACAGCATCCTCTGCTGTCAAAAAGCAGAATCACATCAGAAATGAGGAAAGACTAAGCCTTCAAGTGAACGTTTATACAGACACCCCTCTCCCCCCCCCCCCCCGTCCCCCCCCCCCCCCCCAAATTACCCTACAATAAAGCCCTGATCCATATTAGGGACAAATCTCTTCACGTTCCACAGAGCCACCCTTGAAACTGATGTTATTTTGGGTAATACAGGTGCAAAACAGTCCTGAAATACCATAAGCTCATTGTTTCCAAGGAACAGTACCATACCAGAGTATAAACCTCACAGGGCTGGGCTTTTGGGGTAGCTGTTATTTTTTCTCAGCCTAATCATTATATGGGTCTGTGGGTGACGGACAGAAACAGTTAATGAAATGGATCCAGGCGTTATCGCCCTGGCCCAGCCTAAGCCCTGGGAATGGTAAAGAAAATACCAGGTGCTGTTGCCCTGGACAGGAACCGTGAAGAAAACACCAGGTGTTAATGCCCTGCTAGCGCCTAAGCCTTGGGAACTGTAAAGGGAACTATGAAGGGTAAAGATCGGTTAGCAAAACCGAGCAGGCCGTTTGCAAGGTAAAGCAGGATGTGCATCTCAAAGACAGATCAAACAGTGTGAATATTTGTAGCCCTTAGTAGTGTTGCTAAATCGGGATGATAAGGGAATAAAAGAGCGGAACGTTACTGCTTAGCACTTAGTAGATTATAAAAGGGATGCGAGGTGACCAATCAAAGAATGTGTGATTGCGTGTAAAGGAAGTAGAATGATATAAATATGTGCTTGTCACACAATATGCTGGATTCACATTTGATCGGGTATAGTCCATTTCTTCCCTCAATGGGTCCTCAATCAATTACAGCTTTAATAACTGTCATTAGAAAACAATAGTATGCTTATTACAAGAACCCAACAACAAACCAACCAATCAGTAAACCAGCTGTTCGATTTGAAAGAAAACTATGTTCAGCACAGTACTATCATCAATGGCTGCACCGTTACTTATATGCTTGCTTGAGGACAGTTTCTGTTTTACTTGCTTGCTAAAGTCTTCTGTTATGGGGCTAGTTGGTCTGTTGTACTGTCCCACTATTGATACAGCAGATGTTGAAGCAGCTGAGAAAACAGAAAATCATTTTAATGGATCTGATGCCAACATCAGCACCACACACACACCAAAAACCCCCAAAACAAAACAGAACAAAACAAACAAACAAAAAAAAAACAAAAAAAAAAACCCAACCAAAAATCAACCAACCAAATTCTGGACCGTAAGCTGGTGCTATGCAGTACCTTTCAACATCTGGCTCTACATAACCCTTCTCCTTATTACTCTGAACTCTTATTTTATTAGGAAAGAAAATACGCTTCAATTTCAGAAAGAACAATGGCGGCATTAAGCATGTTCCCTCTCAAATGCATGGGAAGTAGTCCCATTGCACTAAACCGGTGGTTTCTGAGGTTCTAAAACCACCTTACTAGAAGTATAAAACCAGTAATGCCATGCACAAGTAAACAATTCCTCAAAGGCATACATCTTTACCCTTCATCTATCCAGACGCATAGAAAACGTGCTTATGTACGGTGTGGCACGGCCCGGTACCTCCCCGCTCCGCCCCCCGCTAAACCCGGCTCGGCCCCGCCCCAGCGGCCCGCCCGCCGGCAGTGCGGCGTTGGTGCCCGTCATGGCGGCTGGCGTACGTGCGTTCCGCGGAGCTGCCGCGGCTTTCACCACCGCGGCTGGGTGCCGAGCGCTGGGTTCCCTGTCGCCGGGGTCGGCGGCAGGCCGAGGGGGTCGGGAGAGCCGCCGAGCCGCGCTGGCGGCGGCGGGGGCGCTGGGAGGGGTGGGGCTGTGGTTGTGGCAGCGTCAGGCCGTGATGGCGGCGTCCGAGGAGGACGAGGAGGACAAGATGCTGCGGCAGCGCTTCATGGCGCCGCCGGTGAGCGGGCTGCAGGAGCTGCGACGGCGGCGGCGGGAGCTGCGGAGCCGAATGGAGCTGCTCATCATGGAGACACAAGCGGAGGTGTGTCGAGCTCTAGCCGCGCTGGACCCCGGCGCCGCCTTCGCCGTCGACACCTGGGAGAGGAAGGAAGGTACGGAGGGACCGCAGGGGTCAGCCCGGGAGCGGGCACCCCGGGGGGCGGCGGCCCCGGAGCAGCCTGACGTTGGTGTTGGCAGGCGGCGGCGGCATAAGCTGCGTGCTGCAGGACGGCGAGGTCTTCGAGAAGGCCGGTGTGAACGTGTCTGTCGTGTTCGGGCACCTGTCGGAGGAGGCAGCGCGGCAGATGCGGAGCAGGGGGAAGTCTCTGAAGGCCAAAGACGGTAAAGTGACTGGCGGAAAGGTGGGGTAGGGGACCGGGACGCATTCACCCTGGTATTCCTGTGAGGGTACTCTCAATGCAGTCTGAACTTTGAGCAGAAATGAGGAAGGCTATTCAGCACTCAGTGGTTTCAGTTGCATCATGGTGCTTCCTAACCAGTGACCCTGGGCTCCCTTTCACAGCTTTAAAAAGCCAGGTGTCAGGGTGCTTCTCCCTCCATCTCACTGCTTTAAACAATGTACTGTAGGCTCAGGTTGCTTCTCAACAATGATGCTGTAGCTTAACAGTGAAACTGCACAGGAGTCATGAACCAAAGAGGTGGAGGGGGAGAACCACAAAAACCTGAAGACTAAATTGGGTCCACAAAGACCTAAGGCTAAAGGGATTCAACCCATGTTTGCATAGCAGAGGGCAATCGTGAGGACTGGGGGTGGTGGAAACCCTTAACAGTGCCTTATGTTTCAAGTGTTCTTCATCTAATGGGTGCTCTACCATACTGTTGCATTTTAGGATAAATAAAAAAAACCCCAACCATTTAGTTAAGTGCACAGAGGTTTGTGGATGAGAAGTAAATTGCACATTAATAATTATGGCGATCCAACATAAGAAATTTTCTTGTAGTGGAGCAGTATCTTGGAACCTAAAAAAAAGAGCAGTGTTCCTTAAATGACAATAAATGAAGTTATTTGAGAAAACTGAAGGATTTTTTCTATGGATCTTTTTTATTATCTAGGGAAACTGCCTTTCTGCGCCATGGGTGTGAGCTCTGTTATCCATCCTAAGAACCCTCATGTTCCAACCATGCACTTCAACTACAGATACTTTGAAATTGAAGAAGCAGATGGTAAGAATTGTAATCCAGTGAAGTGCTGTGAAATGTATGACTCCACACAAAGGAAGCATGACTTCATGGCTCAGCTAAAAGGTTAAGAACCAGCCCAGGTTTGTTCCCAGCTGTGCGAGCATCTGTTGTGTAGCACTGGATCCCTTAATCTCTGGGCCTTTGTGAATTTGTAAGGTCAGTGCAAAGTGTGCATGTGGTAAAGGGGTTTGCAGTTCACTTTTTGCAGAGTACACCAGGGGTTTCACACTTAAGTTAAAATGTAGGAGGTTATAAATATACGTAAAACATATTCAAAGAAGCAATTCTAGAATTTAGTAGCATACGGTCTGTAAAGAACTGGTAAGCATACTGGTCAGGATGCATCTCTGCCTCTGAAGCTGGGTGGACATACTGTCAGAATCTGCATTGTGACTTTTTCCACTGAGTTTCTGTAACTTTCCACTGTCAGAAGTGGGATTCCAGGTTAGAATCACAGAATATCTCAAGTTGGAAGGGATATATAAGGATCATGAAGTCCAACTCCCTACTCCTCGCAGAACTACCTAAAACTAAACTATATGCTAGGTGGTCAGATGCTGAAAGGCCGTCTGTACCTTGTGAACATAATACACTGTCAGAAGCTCAAAGAGAGGTTTTTTCCAATTATTTCGTCAGATCATTATGGATCATTTCTAGTCGATGACTTCCCTGGATTTAATAGCAGTGTTCCCTTTCTTTGGCATTAGCAAAATGTTTCTGAATTCCCGAATAGGAGTTGTCCATCCTCCTTGTGAAATTGATAGCCTGTAGTCAGGGTCAGTGGTCCAAAATACAGAATAAGTATGTTCTGCTGCTTTGAAATTTCTGTTTTCCTGAAGGCACTGGTCATCACATGACCTCAAACTCCAGTGTTTCATGACTGAGGATAAGGGACACTACTGAATAATTTTTTTTTTTTTTTTTGTATTGTAAAAGTAGGTGTTAGTTCTTGGTGAACCAATAGCAGCATACTGCTGTTCAGAACTTTAAAAGAAAAATGTTGCTGTTTGCATTTCTCCTATAGGAACTAAACAGTGGTGGTTTGGTGGTGGGACTGATCTCACTCCAACTTACTTGAATGAAGAGGATGCTGTTCATTTTCACAAGACACTGAAAGAAGCCTGTGACAAACATGATCTGAAGTTGTATCCCAAGTACAAGAAATGGTATGTGGGGAGATATGTGCTTGGGTTTCTTTTGTGGGAACAGAAGGTGGCCCTGGATATTGCCAGTTAAGAGTACTCTTAGGAATAGTAGGTTCTGCTGCCTTTGAAAAGTATCAGCAAACCCTAATGAAAACCAGCAGATGTTATCCAGGACAAAGTGTACTCTGAAACAATCTCAGAGAGGCCCGAGTTGTTCAAATCTTAGGGCTGACAGCTAGGATGCAGGCTACAGCCTGCAAAAGAACTAGGCTGACTCCGCAAGACTTTGTAAGCCAGTTTTCCCTAGGCAACTTACAAATTCCTTTTAGCCTCTGGTATTGAACTAGGACAAGACTTTTGTCCTATGGATTTGGGCAAACTCGGCTTATAGTGAACTCATGGAAAATGCGTGTGACTTCAGTGTGAGCTCTTGGCCCAGCACTGCAGTTCTGAAAATCGCCCCACTCCAGTTTGCCTTCAGTCTGACCTCCATGACCTTTTATTTTTTGCCAGGTAGGTAAAGGAGCCTGTCCTTAATGTGGAAGCTTCCTCATTTTGATGGAGCTGTACTTTTTTTCCACTGACATAATTCACTGAGAATTCAACAGAATGTTCTCTAAAGATGCAAATATTGAAAGTTCTTCTTGAGAGATACAAGTGTTAGGATCCTTCACTGTTCACTGGGAGCTTGCTGCTCTGTGTCTGATAATCCTATCTGTTACAAGTTGTGGTATCCAAGAAGGAGGGGTTACCCTTTTGTGTGCTACCAGGTCCTGTCTGAGGACAGAAGATAAAGTGGGTGTTGTAGCTCAAATGGCAGCCAATTTGTAGAGAAGCATCTCTTACAACTTTTAAGACCATAGTCTTGGTTTTGTGAGGAAATTTTGCATTGTAGTTGAAAGTGGTCATGTTGTTTGCAGTGTAAGCAGGCTATCAATGCCAGCTGCAAGGTGTCAGAGAGAAGAATGCCAATTCTTAATCTGGGGGCAGCTCAGGAAAGGACTAATTGTGTTCCATGGAAAAAGGCAGTTTTCTCAATTCCAGCATGAGTGTTTCCCACAAGCAGCAGCTGCGTACGGGTATACAGTTCTCACTGCGGGAGCAGTGTGGATCTTCTCTGAGCTTCTACTAATTAGCTCCTTTTCCTGCCTTTCTCAGAAATAAACTCTTGCTATGTTTACCACACTGCCTCCTATTCTAGCCTTTAGACTTTTGTCAGCCTTGTTCTCTTTTGCATTTCTGACTCAGCCTTTTTCCCTAATTTTTCCTCCTGCTGTAAAATAAAAATGCTGATCAGCCAGTGAATAAAATAAATAGCTTAGGTTATCTAGCTTAGGTTATCTGTTGCATCTCTTAAGTCTCTCCTGCTATGATCGTGCCATTTGTATCACTTGAGAACAGAAACTGGATGGATACACTTACGGAAAACTAATCCTAAAGGAAGGCAAGATTACCTTGCTGTTGATGATTTCTCCTTCCTACTTCCCTTCCATTTCTCCCCTACATGAATGCTTGGGTGGCATGGCTTCCCAAACAAGCAACTGTAAGCATGACAGGGTGTGGATACAATGAATCAGTTAATTTATAGTAATTGCACACCTACATACTTCTAGTAAGTACAAAGGAGATTAACTATCTGCTTGTTGTAGGATAAGCTGCACATGAACATAAACCAATAAACTTGAACATCAGCCGTGAAAAGCCACTGACAGAATGACTCCATCTTCCAAGTTTAACTGTTAAAAAGCCTTTTCCCAGGGAAGGCTGCCACACTTTTGATTTTTTTCCTTACGTGACAGTGACTATCTTACCTGGCCTTAGGTCTCTACATTCTTTTAGTTTTGATACAGAAAATCAATTATTTTACTAGGATAGCAAAAAGAATAAAGAAATTTTCTTCCAAGTTTAAGCTCATCTGAAAGCTGTAGAAATTATTCAGAATTACATATAGTTCTGCGAATGAAATCTGAAAAGAGCTTTTAATGTGAAATTTTGAAATCAGGTGTCTGTCCTTCATGACAGTAGAGGATATGGACTGGATCAATCCACAAGGAAGCATCTGCTGTGGTGTTTGATTGTTACGTATTTAGAGACTGTGTGGTGATACAGAGCTTTACAGAAACTTTCATCAGAGCTTTTACTGCTTTTACTGTAAGTAAGTGCAGGAGTGCTTTGCAGGTGATGCTGTACCATCCGTGCTCTTGGCAGTCGGTGAAACAGTGGGGCACCCTGCACAGGAGGAACTGACTTCTTGTCAGTATTCCACTAGTGCCATCCTGTGCCACATGACTGCTTGTAGTTCTCTTCATTTCTTTGAATATTGTGGACCTGTCATCTGCTGCTGCTTCTAGGTGTGATGATTACTTCTTCATCAAACACCGTGGTGAGCGAAGAGGGATTGGAGGCATATTCTTCGATGACGTAGACGCTCCCTCCAAGGAGGAAGTATTCCAGTTTGTGAAGAGTTGTGCCAGAGCTGTTGTGCCTTGTTATATTCCCATTGTGAAAAGGCACTGCCATGACTCCTTCACACCAGAGGAAAAACTATGGCAGCAGCTTCGGAGAGGACGGTGAGTACTGAAGGAGCAGAAGAATACAGGGAGGGTGGATTATGCTAGCAAGTTAAAAAATAAGCTAGTCCTTCATGGTTGTGAGTTTATGTCCTGTTGTGATATGGCTAAGTTTGCATGTGTACTCTGAAGTCCACGTAAGAAGCTGAACATTTTTATGCACGGAGCTCATTTGAAATCCAATACTAGATTGCCAAAGAGGCTGCAAAGAAGGTACTATCACACCATCACCTGTATCTCCCACTTTCCCATGTACAAGCAACCTATAAAAAATACCACACTTTCTCCAGCTCCTTCAAAAACCAAGAGAAGCTGCTGCTTTGTAACAGGCAAACAGGGTGGGGGTGTGTGTACTTGGTGCCTTCTGCTGCTGCCCAATTATGGGATATTGGGACTGCCCCATGACATTAGGACCCTGAGGGTGAAGGAGTCATGCTTCCTATTAAGTAATGAAGCTAATCCCCAGAAAGTCATGAAATAACTGTTCCCAAGAGTACTTTCAGCTAGTTTCATACATATTTATTCTATTTGGTCTTGGCATTGAAATGAAGATGCAGTGAACTCTTGGTAAAGGAATAAGGATGCAGCAGAATTTGTTTTTTTCTGGCATGTTTCAAAGTGACTGTAACTTAAAAGACATTGGAGGATGCTTATTAATGTGAATGTTAATGCTGCTAAAGTACACTGGTAGATACAGTTGTGCTCCTTTCTCTATGTCCTGTTATTGTCTAAGCATATGGAGGAAATGTGAGTACATATGCTCTGTGCAGAACTAGGGAGTCTTTAGTTTCTGCCTCTTCTGCAGAGAAGTCTGTGGGAGTAGTATAGGGAAGGTATAGACACTAAAGTTTAGATTACTGGTCTGCACTAGTTACTCAGCTAAGCATCTATGTTTAATTTGGTGGAACTGTTTGTGGGAGTGCTGGATTTTCAGGATCCAGTTTGTGGATGGAATTTAGCAAACCTGCTAAGGTTATGAGGGGGAGTAACTTCTTTAAGCGGAAGAATTTGTAGATTATTGGGCTAGGTAAAGCTCTCCATTTCTGCAGCAGGAAAGAACAGATAAGAGCTCCCCCTTTCCTGTACCTCTGTTAAGTACTAAGACCTCAGTACTGGTTATTAAGATAACCCTTGCTGAATTGTCACTGTTCCGTTTGTATGCTGGCAGCAGAAAACTATTTTGGCTTCTAGCAGTCCCATCCAGCACTCTGAAGCTGGCTGACTTCTGCTTTACAGATCTCCCAAGAAGAGAAAATCTTGTTCTGACCTTGCTGCTTATGTGTCCTCCCGCATGGAGGACTGCAAGGTAGAGCTTTTCCTGTAGTCATTTCCAGTTCCTTTAAGGCTCCTTTTAATGTCTGCCACCACCACACAAAAGAGTACTAGCATAACCAAGCTAAACTTGGTGTCAGCCTTTCCAGCAGGACTGAAGCCTGGGTGAAGTAAGCTAGTACAGCACCATTGCAGAATGCTGTCTGTTGACTAGTTTGGCTGCTCTTGTCTGTTAGCTGTGGTCATTACTTCCTGTGCTTTGTGAAGCAGCAAAGTCACACCTGTGCTCCTATGCAGAGGATGATAGAGAACAGTTGGCACCAAACCAGGGCTCATTCTGACACCTCTAGCAACAGAAGGTCAGGCTTGTTTTATCTGATGTCTGCTTGTTGAAGAAGGCACAACCAGCTTCTGATAGTAAACCTGTTTTTCTGTTCACTCCCCACAGGTATGTAGAGTTCAACTTGGTTTATGACAGAGGTACAAAGTTTGGCCTCCTGACACCAGGATCAAGAATCGAAAGCATTCTTATGTCTCTGCCACTGACTGCAAGGTAAGAGCATAGTTACATGGAGTTGTAGGTAGGCACTGTTCTGACTAAAATACTTCATAGGATTAAAGCAAAGTTATGTCATAGTGTCCAGTCTCTTAACAGTTCATGCCTGATGCAAGAACTGGCCAAATACATGCAGATGCTTCTCTGGTCTACTGTGCTCACCCAGTTGCCAGTAATGTGTGACCTAGATATTACCTCACACACAAAAAAAACAAAACAAAAAAGTGGTATTTTTTGTGCTTAGTACCTCCCCATAGATACCCTTTCCTCACTCCAAGGGTTTTTTGTTATTAGCTCTTTGAAACCCTGTGTGCTTCTGGCAGCCCTGACATGCCTGTGGCAAGGAGTTCCATAGTTTGTGTGTTGTATGAAGAAGTGTCTGTTTTCTACCTGCAAAGGATGACTTCGTTCCGCTTTTCAGTAAACAACCAGATTTTCTTCATTTTCTCTGTAACAGTTATTTTACAGGCTTTTGGGTTTTGTTTTTTCTTCATTGTCTGTTTTCCCAGCTAAGAAGTCCCCTTCTTTTTAGTCTTTGTACACTAGCTGTTCCATACCTTTGACCACATTTGCCACTTTGCCATGGCTTAAGTTTTCTATGCCCTTTCTGAACTGTCGATAAGGAACAGACAGCATAATGTATCTATGTTCCAAGATGCAGGTGTGCTGCCGACTCATACAGTAGCAGTTATTCCTTTCATAACCCTAATATGCTGTTTGCTTATTTTGACTGCTGCTATACACTGAGCTGCCCTTTTCATATGTTCATATGACTGTTATGATGCCAAGATCTTTTCTGGGTAATAAAAGTCAACTGAGTCTCTCAATGTGTATGTAACTTTTTCCTGTGTGCATCACTTCAGATTAATCAACAGTGAATTTCACCTACCAGTTTACTGCTTAGTTTCTTGGCTTGATATGAACACTTTTCAACTGTCTTTTTAGTTTTTAACCTATCTTGCTTAATATTGCAGTATCACCGTACCCTGTCATTTACAGTACACTCCCCTTTTCAGGTTGCTTTTAGATATGCTACTAGCATATCTAGCACAGCCCCTACCTATCATGAATTCCATAAACTTTGTTAGTAACCCCCTCTGTTAGGAACACTGACCTGCTGTTCCTTGACCATGAAAGCAGTCCTTTTCTCACCATATAGCTTCACCCTGGTGCCAATACTAGATGTGTCCCTTCCCTGGTGGTATAGCACAGTCCTATCTTTTGGTTCTGTTGCTGGGATAATCTGGTTTTGCTTGTTTTCATCAACATAAATAGCTGCTTCACAGCATGAATGAGTCCTTCCTGGGAAAAAGGTTGTACCCATTCATTACTTCATGACTGCTGACACTTCTCCTCTGTCACGCCTCTCATAATTGCCTTTTCAATAAAAAGTGGTCTATTAATCATCTTTATTTTTAAAATCAAGATTCAACAAGGGCTTGTAGGGCTTCCAGTGTAGCTTCTGGAAAAAACAGGTCTCGTGTCCTCACTGTCAAAACTGCCTGGGTTTCTTTTTTCCTTGTCTTCCTTGTCATACTAGTGTGTCACAAGAGACTGCTAAAATCTTCGCAAATAAACCTGCAAGAATTGTGGGGTAGGGGGCACTGCTCTTCACTTCGTTGTTCCACCCTTTCCAAAAGCTGGGAAAAAGATGAAGCTAACATTTCTCCTCTCTATTCCAGTATTATTTGTTTTTATGGAACTTAATGATTTGTAGCCTTATCTGTCACCTGATGCAAAGAGCATTAACTGGGTATGTAGCTTTGCATCCTCAGAAAAAGCAGCTCAAGTCCCAGCACAGCTTGGTGCCAGACAGGTGCCAGCCAGCTGAGCAGTCTGACTGAGTTTCCCCTCTTCCTGTAGGTGGGAATATATGCACACCCCGCCAGAGAGCTCGAAAGAAGCAGAAATCCTGGAAGTTCTGCGCAATCCCAAAGATTGGGTGCACTGACACGGATCATGAACAAGATGGATTGCTTACACTGAGCCAGTATGAAAGGAAAGGAATGCCTGCACACCAGTATATTCAAACTGCTGTTGACTGGTGTTTTAGTACAGCTATGTATACTCTTACCCAGTGCCTTAATAATGATGTAAAATTGCTGTAATTTACAAATATGTGAACTTGTTCTTAAAGATTGATCATCTCATGTTATCACCCCATGTTGATGTTATCTTGCGAAGGACTTGTGGTGCCCTCACAGGACTCCTGTGCATGCTTAAGAACTTCAACTGATTTGTTTGACTGCAAAATGGTAAATTTGCCCACTGGAATGAAAGCATTAAGTGTGCCTAAATAGCACTGCTTACTCTTAGAAAATGTTGGGATGTGTTAGCAATATTTCAATTTTTTTAAGAATAAAGGAAATATTTGATATGATTTTAAACCTTAAACTGTTCATTCAGAAAGTTGTGCAAAAGGGGTTCATTCTTATTCATGTATATTTTGATGCTTGGAGGTGAGGGCTGATGTTTTAAGACATGCTGCAGCAGCATGACTTGACTGATAAGTAACTGGAAGAGTTGGGGTTAGGGTCCCAGTCTTGCCAGATGACTGGGGAAGGCTGGCTGCCTATTTTGAGGAGAAAATCTTTCAGCACTGCTCATTTTGGCTGTTACCAACTCTTAGGCCAGCACCTTTGCCATGGAGGCTGGGGACAGACCAGTAAGCTGTTGGATATTACCCCAAGGTCTTTCAAGTAAAACTTCAAGTTGCTCCAAGCCCTGGGCTGCTTGTTCTTTCTTTGCAGCACAAACCTCGTTGTCCGTGGGGCAAAGCAAAGGACATCCCGTTCTCCCCCGCCTGAGGAAAAAAACAAACACAACCTCCCCGTCGGGGAATCGAACCCCGGTCTCCCGCGTGACAGGCGGGGATACTCACCACTATACTAACGAGGAATTGGGCATGAATGCATGACCTTCCTCTCCTCACGTGGTACAATGTCACTTTGGCCAGGTGATTCGTTGGCCTTTTATGACCGAAGTCAAGCTTCTTTTTGGGGGTTATCGTGCTCTCTTCTGTGTTACACTTCCTCCAATGAAATGGAAATGAAAGAAAATAACATTCTATGATTTAGTAAGCCAGTGATGTTCCCGCCCCTCTAAAAGGTGTGGAAAATAATTGGCCCGTACGGGGATCGAACCCGCGACCTTGGCGTTATTAGCACCACGCTCTAACCAACTGAGCTAACCGGCCGGCCTGACCAGTAGCTTGCGCGTGTTCGTAGTTCCCGCGCTCCCGCGGGAAGGCTGACAGGACTAACTTCCGTAGTGTAACCGCACTTTAAACAGCACACTGGCGGGTCGTTCCAGGCACCCCCGCCAGAGCTGTTCGGACACTAACCGGCGTGAGGAGAACTGCTAAAATGGGGACTTCTAAAACTCTCGTTTTCTTCTGCTCCCGCCTCCTCCAGTCCGCGGGCTGCTCCGTGCAGCTCGACAGGGCGGCACACTAAACAGGGACATCAAAAACCCCATAGGAACAGCCATGCTTCCCTCCTCAGCTCCCCAAACGGCTCCTGGCGGCGAGAACAATCGGCACACCCCCACCACTCCCGACCGCCTCTCTTCCTCCTGGTCACGCCACGGGCGGGCGGAAGAGGAAATGCATCCCGGGAGGGTAAAAGGCAACACCGCCTCCCCGTCGGGGAATCGAACCCCGGTCTCCCGCGTGACAGGCGGGGATACTAACCACTATACTAACGAGGAGTGGGGTAAGCGTAGTACCCCGCCGGCGAGCCCCAGGAGCTCTCGGTGCCACTGCGCTGCGAGCGGAGGCGTGAAGCCAGGCATTTGTCCGGGGCCCGGCATCACAGAAGGTGGTTGGGATCCGTCCGACAAAGCCACTGCTCTGACCCGGCCCGGCGACACGCCGTAAAGCAGAGGGAGTAGTGCGGCCATGCCCGGGCTGTCGTGGGCACAGTAGATGGTGTGAACCCCATAGCTGCCTCGGAAACTGCAATAGCCAGTGTGGAGGGAAAAGCAGCATGAAAGGAAGATAGGGTCATCTCCTAAACCTGTAATGAAGCCCGTTTTCTACTGTGGTGAAACCACCTATCCTTAGAGGAAAGTGTGAACCCTTCCCCAGCTGGAAAGCCTGTTACAGCACTTGTAAAACCAAGGCATTAAGTAATGAATAAATAAATAACATTAATTAAAGCAGAAAATACTTAAGAATTAAATACCTGTGAAAAAGCTGTAGAGATCATCAGATTCCAAGCCCTTTGCTTCACAAACTGTCAGTGAGTCCTAAGCTGAGCTTAGCTACTTTCCCCTTTGCTGTTTCAGGTGCCATTAACACCACCTATCATAAAACACATTAATAAACACAAAATGTTGAGGGAAGAAGGTAACATCTGCATAGAGAAAGCATGTAGGTGTATCATGATAATGCAAGAGCTTTCTCAGAACCAGGAAACATTTAACACAGATATTTGCACACTCTCTGAAAAAAAAAAAAAAAAAAAAAAACCAACAACAAAAACATAGCAAAACTGCTGCTTGGAGACTGACAAATACATGGTATGAGGAGATGGTCATAGGTCTGGTGTAAGAAAATCTGGAGTTAGAAGGAAAGAGGACAGGAGACACCTGACTGAAAAAAACAGAGCAGAAAGACCGAGATGTGCATAAAGAAACCAAGAAACAAACTCACACGGTAAAGGTTGCTCAGTTAAAAAAAAAAGCATAAATTATCAGTAAGATATAGAGGCTTAAAAAAAAAATAACTGTGGTCAGGCCACAGAAAGTAATTATTTAGTTGGTGAGATAATCTTTAAGTTTAGAGTCTTAGACTCAAACGGTCCTGTGAGTCTACAGACTTGGAAGAATCCACAAAAAGCCACATAGCTAAGGAAAGCAAATCTGATGTGCTCCACATTCAATAGGTGGCATTGTTTTTCCTTCTGTGGCCCTGCAGCAGCATTGCTGGGTCACTAATGCTGAGGGTCTCCCAGACTCTCGGGTGTTGTCCATTGAAGAGACCACAGCCCCCAGAAAGCTGGATCAGAAGGTCCTGAGAAGCAGTGCTGAAGCAGTACAACCACTCCAGGTGCCAGATGAAGGGTACCCATCATGAACAGAATTTAGGTCTTAAACTCCAGTCTGTCTCAAGCTGTCTTGAGAAACACACTTTTAAAGGGTTTTATCAGAATTTTGAGATTAAGAAACATCATAACAAAAAACTGTAGTCAGAGAAGACAGAAGCTACTTTATGTTTGCTATTTTGAGTAGGCCTCATCTCACTGTAAACTGATTTCAGAACAATGAAGTAATTACATTCAAAGCACAGAACAGCACAGTTCTACACTTTTGCTTCCTTTTGTGCTGATGTTGACAGCCAAATAGGTTTGAACACTTGGATTTGATACCAGGAAATAAAGAATTAACATTGTGCCTGCTTGCTTAAGCAGTCGTGCTTGGTGAAGCAGAACCATAGGAGTCAAAGTTACTTTCTAGTGAAGCAGAATTATAGGAATTACAACTGCTAAGCAAAATTATAGTAGATAAGATTCATAACTTAGTATTTAAGACATTCTTGTTCAAAGAGTATCTTTAGAAAGAAAAGATAGCCAGAATAACAAAATTTACAAACTTGACAAATTTCTGCTTTAAGATACATAAAACCGGCTTATACCGAACCCAAAATTTAGATAGGAGCCAAAACCCTATTGAATCTGCGTGAAAGGAAGAAGTTACGGTGATGAAGAGGAACTACAGGCCTTCATACTCACAACCCCCTAACAACCACAGGAGACACTGCACAGGCACACCAATGGGATGAATGCCAGAAAACTAATTATAATACGAGACGGAAATACATTTTGCATATGTATTAGGTGTGAAACAATCTCATGTTTAGATAATCATTATATGTAATATAAACGAACTAAGTGGCAAAGGGGGTTCACATGCTTTTGCAGGAGCAACCCCCATGCGCCTCAGCTGAATAAAAGCATACCTACTTTACAACTCTAAGATTCATCACAATGAATTTTGGTGCATATTCTGGCGGTTCCTGACTCCAAAATACAACAGTAAAAGGTACTGAAAAAATAAGTGAAAGCACATTGTTCCAGTAATATCAGCTGTAGAAACAGCGAAGTGAAGGAAGAGGAAGAGAGCAAAAACTGTATGTTAACTACAAACACGTTTGGTTGGTTGGGCTTCTTTTCCACAAAAATTGTGTGAAGGGCAAAAATGGAAAGCCACTTCACCTTTCAAAGCTGAGAGCAGTTTCAGAAATCCCTAAGCTATGTCCTCCTTCAGTGCATTTGAGCCAAGTTTAGTATCTTTGACCTCTTTCCTTTTCCAGGAAAACCAATGTAGCCTCACTTTGTAATATCGCATGGTCAGAAGAACTACTTGGCCACGGATGAGGAAGTAAGAATGAGATGAACCTTACTTTTCCCCTCTTACTTAATGGTACGTTATAGGTAAGTGATCATGTCTGTATTTTTATCCTTCAACTCAGACGAACTCTTCTACCAAATACTTATTTAGGACTTTGCAAACTTTGGAGTCTTAAGGTTGTCTGTAAGTATAAGTTTACATTATATTCTACATAAAAGTTTGTGGAGTTTTTTATTATGATTATTTACAGGGAATCTGTCTTTTCAGACAAATGTATAGGTTTATAGGATTTTTTTTTGTCAATTACAGTAGTGATTTTTCATTTCCTTTGTGGTAATGTAAAGTAGAAAACTTAGAAATTTTGCAGCTACTGGTGTGAGTTGTGCCTCTGCCTGCTAATTATTAGTATCAATGCTGGCTGTTCACCAAGGTTTGCTACTGCTCTTTACATGAGGACAAATAATTAATTTTAATACACAATCTGTCAGAAATACACTGTAGAATGTCAGGGCTTATCTTGTCGCTATCACAACACTTTACAGGATTGTGGATGGAACAGAACCGTATCAGAAAGAAATTAATACTTTTTCTACAGGTTATGGTAAGCATAAGTGTTTGCAGGCTATAGACTATATATTATAGATTATATGCGAAGGAAGAAGTTACAGATTTTCAAGCCCAAGAGAGGTATGTTGATCATTAACAAGTTCTGCCTCCTCCACTTCTATGAGCCAGCTCTTTGTATGAGCTGGCAGCAGTTGCTTTAGAGGACCCTGGAATTTTTTTGTCAGAAAGAATGCTGACTACACTGCTGAATTTCTGAAAAAGAAACCGTGGAAGATCATTTCAACCATGGACAGGATTCAAGGTCTAGTACTGGGCCCAGGGCAAACCCAAGCACCACCAGAAGTGGACTCGGAGGTGGGGAGAACCCTGGCCAGCCCCACAGGGTGGGGGGAAAAGAGGAGGGTGGTGGGTGGGAGGACACTCAGGAGTTGCAA